ATTATTATTATTTCTGAGTGTACGCTATTCTGTCTATTTCTATAATTTTATATTCTTTCTCGTTTTAGTTTAGAAAGTTAGATCAACTTTTGTTGTTTTTCTTGTGCAATAGGAAGGGAGAGAAGAAAACAAACATATAAGAGACAGTAAACTGCTTCCTTTATTAATATTCTTACTCTTATCAGGCAATATAGTCATTTTTTGTTGTTGTGTTTTTTTTCTTTCTTTCGATTGGTAAAGTAAAAATCTCATTTTTTTTCCTTCATAAACAAATAGTCTAATTTTTTTTCTGTGTGTGTGTGTGTGTGTGCGTGTGCGTGTGTGTGTATTCGTTTATTGTTTAAAGTGTTGCCTATCCTTTTTATTTTGCTCAAGCTATAATTGAACTATCGTTGTTGGTGCTATGGTGTATTGATTGTGCATACATGCTTTCTTTCTCATATAGTGTAAACAGTGAACGAAACAAACTGCTAACTTTTTCTTGCCCATACCTACTCTATTGTTTGTCTCTTTATTTGTTATGTTTTGTTTAATGAATTAAACATACATTGTTCTTCTTTTCTTTTCCTTTTTTTACTATACTACTACATTTTTTTTATGGAATGTAATTGAGATTTTCTACGTGTTCATCGTTCCGCATAGACATATAATTCTTTCTCTATGCGGTTCACTTTTTTTATACACTTAATTCTACATATAAACGTATGACGATGATGATAATGATAATTTTTAAAATTCTTCTCTGGGTTTATTTTTCATAAGTCACTTTTTTATGTATAATAATATATAAAGCATACACGGAGAATGAAATTACGCTTAAGTTGATTATTAATGAAATCCATTAGTTATTTATATTTTGTATAGCATCTAGTGCAGCAGATATATTCGAAAATTTGTCGATTATCTAGTTTTTTCATTATCGAGTTCTATCTATGAGAGCAAATTTCCCGTGTTATTTTTCAAAATGTAAACAAATACTGTCTTACCAAATGTGTCTACAGTCTAAATTGATCTTGACTATATTTATCATCTAATAAAATATTTCTACTAGGATATCTCCATTCGGATCTGCTCACTCTATGGATGGTTGAAAACTAACAAGATCTGATTATTTGCATGGTATAGTACTACGAAAAGCATTTAAAGCTTCTATTCACCACTTCTAACAGTTATGTGGAACATGACATGTTTGTACTAGGGGCGTAAATTGTCTTGGAGCATCTGTTATGCGGAAACCGCTTCTGCTATTAGATGTTGTCAGTGTCAATCGGGAAAAATCTGCAAAACATTTATATAAATACACAAGCAAAAAAAACAACTTTAAGAAATTGTCGCCTGCAAAAAAAGACATATATTATTAATGTAGTGAAAAAAAGGTTTTTTTCTAACTTTTTGTTCATATACAATTTAAAGAAGACTAGAATCAGGTGGACATACTTGATAACTACTTAGTGAACACTGGAAAAAATTAGTAAGTATTTTCAAAACCACGTACTTGCCATGAACTTTTACAGGTACTTCTCCACGATTCCAATACTAAGTTTATTTGTCATGAATCTTTGTAAAAGTACTTGCAATTTTACTTGACAAATACTTATTGTTCAAGTGCTCACCAAGTCAGGTAAATGTTTAAAAGTTAATTTTTAAAAGAAAGGCCAGTATAAATTTCATTACGCAAGCAAAGTAATAATTCTAAGTACTTGGATCCAAGTGCATTCACTAGAGCTATCGCCTAGTATCAAATATTTCACAATATTTCAACTTGTTCTCGCAGTTGCCCAAAGGTGCAGAATCTACCCGTTTGCGTTGACGGCCGTTGGGGGAAAAATTTTTTTTAAGGGTTTAGGAAAACGAAGAATTATATTAACCTTTAACGACTATCTCCTTTTTATGTTCTTTCAAAAACTAACTATTCACGATTGTATTAAGACGTTTACATCAAGAAAATACCAGAACCAGACATGTGTGATTAAACAGTAACAGTAGTTTTAGCAACAATAAAATCGTATTGTTTTGTTTTTTCTTTTGTTTCATGGTGCGGAAATTTTATTACAATCTTTGATTCCAGATATTTGCAATCGATCCATAATGATCTTTCGATCATGAGATGGGAATCTTTTTAAATGTGCCACCGCTAACAAAATCTATGAGAAGTATAGAAATCAGTTAGCTGATCTGTTCATAAAAGAGCTTTTGGCGCCATCATTATATTTGCTGAGGCGATGAAATAACAATTGATTGGATTTTGTCGACTAATGATAAATCGAGTAAATATTCTTTGTTAAGAGCACAAAAACCATATCATAGAAAGTGGAAGTTGGATAAAATATAATAATAAGAGAAAAATGAATAAATTAGTTTTAGCAGTCTCTAGTCGGTGTAATACACCTATACTTTCTAAGTAATTATTATTATCGTCTATAATTTTTTACTGGTCAACACTCAACTATGAGCTCATCAACTACTGGCATTCTTTCGTTCCTGTTTATCTCTAAAACATTGTTAATAGATCTTTCGTGTCTATTTCACTACTGAATGCTCTCCTTGTTCAAATTCTTTTATTAGTTTGTTTTTCTTAAAGATAAAATTGTGAATTATGCGGAAAAGTATTGATCTAGTAGATATTAATTCAAGCAGTAATTCAACAGCTGACTCGAAAATGGTAAGCAATAATTTTGTTAACGTTTTAACGGCAGTCATATGTAATGATTGATTCTATATATCATTTTTTCAGTTGATACCTGAAACAAAAATTTGCTCTATATGTTTGGGAGATGGAAGGTAAGACTTTCTGTCGTGCTCAAAGGGTACAGTGTTTTATGAATCTCACTTTTATTCTAGCACGGATGATAGTGATCCAATTGTGTTCTGTGACCATTGCGGACTCATTGTTCATGAAAGTAGGTTGTTGCCATTTAATCATTAATAAAGAGAGAACGAAAGGATGTATGATGACAGATACTTGTCAGCTGTTTCTTATCCTTTCATAGTTGAAACGAGAACAACACCTCTATTGCTTTATTTACAATGTTCGCATATTCTAGGTTGTTATAATGCCGATACGTTGGATGATAAATCATCTGATTCTAGTTCACCATCAGAATATTGGTTTTGTTCACCGTGTTTAGCTCAAATTGATGATCCGGTAAGTACTTTCGCTATTTTAGCTATAGTAGAGCTTGTAAATTATTTATTGACTAGATCTGCGCCCTGTGTCCCGAGCGCGGTGGTGCATTTTGGCCTACTCTGGAGTCCAGCTGGTGTCATGTTGTTTGTGCAATGACAGTTCCAAATGTACTTTTATACGAAGAAATTTATTATACACCGGTTGATCTGTCGAATATACCACCACAAAAATTTGGAAATAAAGTAGGACCAAAACTGCTAATATGGATGCATGGATGATTCTGCTTTTCTTTCTAATATGATGCCTGTTAAGTTATTACATTAAATATACCGTTTTCGTTGATTTTTTTAGCCTTGTAAATTATGTGAAAATGCGAGTTATGCTAGAACAGGCGTAACTGTTCAATGTGATGCTGGTTTATGTCCAAATTCCTTTCATGTGTCGTGTGCAAATAAAAACGGATTTCTGCAAATACACGGAGATATAGTAAGTTTTCAATTTTCATTACGTTGTATATAGAAAGATTACTGAAAGTATATATCAGAGATGGGATTAGTTCGGGTTGGAATAAATTTTGAATAAAAGACTTTGAAAAAAAAAAGTTTTTTGGGGTCAGAGAAGTCATCGCTATTAAAAACAATTGTTATTTATAGTGAAAAACACCGAACTATAGTGGGATATTGTGCAAAAATCGTAGTTGTTCTTAACCTACCTGCAAATCATTAATTTCTACATTACCTCACAATACCGAGGGAAATAATGAATTAACGCCGCAAAAATTTTCCACACTCTCTTGCGTCGTGATGTTTATTCTAAGGTATTCTGTATTATTGTGGCCCGTTGTGGCGCCGATTTGAAAAAGGTTGATTAATAGTATCCGCAATAAAGGAAAATGTTGTGAAACGAAACATCTTAGTAAGAATGCTTCCTAACTTCAACTGACTAAAAGTTTTATTAAAATCTATATGAGGACGTCAGATGCTGATACAATCACTCTTTGTTTAAAACACTTTAAAACTTCAGAATGGAAACATGTTATATAATGGAAAACGGATTCCTGTACATTTTTAACATTTTTTTACTCGCTTCTACTTAAAAAAGGTCTTCGGGTTTCGTTTAAGTTTAAATAAGAACCGATCCTATCTGTAGTATATGCCTCTTAGTAACTCAAGAACAATGATAATGATAGCTTTCAAGTTGAAATTCTGTATAAAAGTAAGCCTAACTACCCATATTTTCTTGCATAGAAAAAACAAAGTATAAACGTCAGTGATAGTACGACTAAAATGCCTTGAAGTTGAAAGAAACCTAATACTCTGTCTACTTCACTATCTGAGATAGGAAGGACCATATCTGATGGAAAAAATTACGTGTTTAGCAGGCGTTATTCATGTATTATTAGCATTTACTGGAAGAAATGAAATTCTTGTACTTTACGAGCCATCCAGTCAAAGAGACTGAAATTTGTAGGATGGTCAAAAAATCGTCTAGGTTAGATGTACGCAAACTTTGCAGTTTAAAGCTATCATGGTTCTTGGGCGTAAGGCATCTGGCTAATAATATAAGTATTTCCATATCTCTCTATAGACCAAACATGAATGTGAGATTTATTGTCAAAATCATCAATCATCCGAATTGTATAAACAAGTGAAACGAAATTATACAATGATGGACATACAACAAAAACAACTTGATAAACGAAACGCAACAGATATTGATGTAAGAGTTTAGTATAGTACGTTCGATTTATTTTATGCAGTAAGCATCTTTTCTTTTGAAGGATGAAATGTTAAATGCTTTAGCAGAGCATCGACCATTATTCAAAAAACGCTTAACAACATTTCCAAGGTTACCAAAACCGACGAAATCACATGTTGCACGGTAAAGATCGATTACTAAAATCATTGTTATGGTTAAGCTGGAAGCAAAACTACTGGTTGTTTCAAATTGTTTCTTTTATATAAATGACCTAGATAACACATCTGTTCTTTGTCGGATAGTTTAAATTTAGAGATGTGATTTGAGTTGAGAAAAGATGGCTAAAGTACTCTTGTACAAATGTCTATCGGTCTATATGACAACATGAACAATCAAACACGAATCGATAGAATGCCATTTTTGCAAAGCAGATATTATCTCATCAGTTGGTTTTATCTACTAAACTTTATTCTGATAGTTCTCCCTCATTTTAGTTCTTTAATGGCTGATCCAATAGCGCTGAAAGCATTCTATGAGAAAGATGTTCGCCTTAAACATAAACATACAGCCTCCGCAACATCAGCAAATGGAGTTCATGGAGAAGAGGATGATATAGACTTAACATCTACAAACACAAATCCATTAATCGCATTTCCAGGTATATTCCTCTTATATTTCATCTATAATATGTTTATGATTTTTTAGTATTGAAGGGAGGATAAACTACGTTTCTTTGCTATAAAAGTGTCTTCTGAGAGATTTTCTCTTCATGATGCCTGTGTTTTAGCTAATGAAGAAGAACTTCGTCAAATTCGTTTGAAAATTGATGAGACTGAAAAACGTTTAGCTGAATTAGAGAATGACACTGTTGACAGCGAACTGCTAGCTGAACAGGCAGCGGTAAGTCGATTAGCTTCAACATTCTTTAATGAGGAAATTTCATGCTACTTTTCAACAGTCTCGTATGTTTCTCTTTAGCTTCAAACTGAATATAACGATCAACGTCAAACTTATGAAACAACATTTTCGCGTTATAAAAAACTACAAGAAGTTCTCAAACTGTACGATTGTCAACTACCACTTTTTACTCCATCAACTCATGATCAAAACGGATCAGTACTACAAACTAATACAACCAGTGCCAGCACTACTCATGCTGCACGTTCGCGTTTAGCTGATTCGGGACCATCGGTAAAAGGTCGACAAAAATCATCATCATCAACAACAACAAAAGAGGATATGATGTTATTACCGTCCAAAGATGACTCGTATGTATACAATATTTGCACTGACTTATTTTAAAGGGTCTAATCGTTTCAGTTGCACAATATGTAAAAAATGTGATCGTCACCATTACATGGTTAAATGTTGCGAATGCTACAAAACATTTCATGGTGACTGTCTAAAACCAGCTCTACAAATAAAAACATGGATACTAAAAAATTATGAATGGTGCGTTGTAGAAAATCTCTCTCTAGGTCCCTATATTATAAGATACTTTTCTTCTAAGGCAATGCGCAGAATGTGTTGATAAACAAGAAAAATTGAAAGATATCGATGTTGATGTAAATCAACCGCGAAAAACTCGTCCGAGAAAGACAAATGAACTTGTTTTACGTGAAGGTGTTAATAAAGTAAGGGATACGTAAAGTGAGGGAAAACGCAAGACAAAATTTGTTCATTTTTTTATTGGTAGGGTCAATTTGATGAAAAATTTCCTTCAAAACGTTCATCTCTTCATCCCACTACAAAGCCACGATCTGAAACAACAACAGAACCAAATGTGGATGAAACAATGGTAAGTTATTGTGACACTTATATATCTACTTGCATTTATAAGACATTATTCTGTACCTTCATAGACCTTATGTTTGTTTTAGGACGATAATACATCGAATACACAAAATGTCGAAAAACCGACACTACCTTCAACCTCTCGAAAACGTGCATTATCTGTTCAACAATCTTCTTCTGATAAAAAATCTCGCACTAAACGTTTGAAAACGATCGATGATAAATCTACTACAATATCAGCCCCAGCTGTCGAATCAAAAGAAGCAAAAGATTACGATCCGTTTGAAACTGCGTTAAGTTCAGATGATGATGAAAATACCTTGTACACAATGGGACCGGCATCTGCCGCTGTGGAGAATGATAATGAAAAAAAAACTCGTACAGTTTCATCGACCTCGTCTGCAGTCACAGAAATAGTTAATGGAGAATATGATTATCTGCCACACGTTACATTGAATGGTGATGAATCAAATGATGTCCAAGAACAAAAACCTCTGAAAAGCACTACAACGCCTCCGCCAAATCGAGCAATGTTAATTAAACAATTATTCACAAGAAAAAATTCAACAACAACTCCAGAACGAAAATCGGTCATGTAAGCACTTCTATTTATACTCTGCATATCTTCTAATATAATAATCATTCGATTTCTTAGAGCTGAACCAGTTCTAACTCCACCAAGTACTTCAGAAAGACAAACACCGAACAAGTATGAAATAAACAAACATCTTTCTTATGACACATAAGCATTTTTTGAAAAACTGATAAAGTTTTTTGACTAGGATCCGTTGAAAATTGAAACAAGAAAAGTAATCCAAAAATTTTCAGTATTAGATCGATGTTTATATCTATTCTTCCTTTTGTGATTGATTCATCTACTTTTTGTCATTTTTTTTAGAGAACCAGGCTCGTCAAAATCGACATCTTCATCAGCTGCAAAGGAGAAAAAATCGGCTAAAAAACGTGTATCAAAAGTAAATGCGACAAAGACTGTTTCAGTCGGTAAGATATTTTATTACATAAGAATTGAATTTTATCCTTTCAATTGTTTTTTTAACTTTTTCCAGACTCGCCAAAGAAATCAAAACAGCAACGAAAGTCGTTAAATGCATCGGCAACCAGCATTCCATCTAGTGTGAAAGACGTACCAAAAGCAAATAGTACTGTCAAACAACAGAATCTGACGCCGACAGGAAAATCAAAGAAAAATTCTGGAACTAAACAAAACCGTGCTATGGCTGCTGAAAATAGTAAATTATCTGATCCAATGTCTATTTTTGATTTTTTTGACGAAGATGATGGTGAAGTAATTGAATTGAGATCGTCAACATCTCAACCGTCTCATACTACTGCGGAATCATCTTCCACGTTTTCAACATCAATTAAAAAGGAGCCGCTCGAAAAATCTTCAACAACGCCACGTTCTCGAGGTCGTCGTACGAGAAAAAGTGTTTTCGAACCACCGATTGGAGCAGTTTGTCGAGAATGTGAACAAAAGGGAGCAAATGAGAATATGACCGAGTACGTTCAAACAACTGAAAAACATAATTGTTGATCGAAAATTTTTTGTATGTTTTATTTTAGTTGTGATGAATGTAAAAATTATTATCATTTTCAATGTTGTACGCCTCCATTAACCGCATATCCCAAAACACGAGTATGTAAAGAGTAGAAAATGAGAATAATGTAAAATTGTACTTTTATCAGAAGAAAAAAGATATTATCATTGACATTTGACTTATTAAATATATCGACATTGAATTTTTTTATAGGGTTATGGTTGGTCATGCCATCGTTGTAGTGTTATGAACGAAAGCTCAAAAGAGGATAGCCCACAAAGCTCAACTATGAAGGTAAGATAAAATATGTTCTCTTACAGTTACTAAATGGAAGTATTTTAATGAATGATGAGAATGGTCGTTTTAAATTGATAATAAAATAAATTATTATTTGCCATTTTTGAGATAAAACATTCATCAATAATATTTCTCTTCATTCTTTTTAGACTGGTAAACGTGAACGAAAAAGTCGTTATGCCAATCAGAATGAGTATGTTTTGGAAGAAGCATAATCTGAAATAATCTTATTTCTCCGGTTTTTGTAATTAATGTACTTTTTTTTTTGCATGAATAGTTTTTTCATTTCGTAGATGTTTGTTTAATTATCAAACACCGGTTGTTAACGGGGTTTTTTTTTCTATCTTACATATAGTCAATTATGTCATCGTTGATTTTTTTTAATTCAAAATTTACTTGTGTTTGTTAATCTAAAATGGGTACACAATTTAAATGGTAACAGGATTTTTCTTATAAAAGTTGAATTTGTATGAAGTAAAATAGCAATCTCTTCTTCAAGAGTTAAGTCTAACAGTCAATGAAAAACGATTATTCAACTATCTCCAAAATGTTTAAATTTTTAATTGCATTCGATCAAAACGTAATTTTTTTATATAACACTATGAAAACGATATGGCAAAATCGAAGCTCGTTTTAAATAATATCGGTTATTTCATTTAGTGAATATTAAATATTGGTAAAAACAGTAAAAAAACTATTTACAGCTAATAGAGAAATATCCCCAAGTTACTTTTCAATTTTGACGAACATATCGTCAGCAGTATAGTGAACTGTTAATCATAAATATACTATTTTTAGCTGCCACTATTAGATGAATCCCGAGTTAGAGCAATTTTTAATTTTTTTGGTCGAAAAATTCTTAGTTTTCAATCGATCATAATGTTTGACACATACATTAGAAAATCTCATCAAATACACGGTTTTGTAGAGAAATTCTTCAGCTGCAAGTTGATATGTTTGGAATAATAATCTAACTCATTGTCTTTGAGTAAAATATTATACATTTTTATAAATATCATCAAATTTTTAATATAACCAGGTTGCAGAGAATTTACAATACTTTTAGAATGAACGATACATTTCGCCCAAATCCCAAAGTACCACTTGGGGATGTCACTTCGCAAGCGATCATAGTTGCTCAGACGATATTCGATTATGGATATACAGAAATTCCTTATTTATCTTAAATTTGTTCGTCAACGTATCAAGATATTAGAGTTGAGCGTACAGCAACAATTGACTTCATTTTAAGAGGACCCCTCCTCAAGAATTTTATTTCTTTAAAAACCTTCGAAACTGAAGTAAGCAAATGTCTGAGTATCCTACACTATCATTTTTTAGGATGTATCTTAGTTTGCCAAAAATTCAATGTTTCTGGAGATTTTTGAAAAAGATTTCTGAAAGCCCTAAAAACCACCTTTTCTGAATTTCACATTTCAATTAAAATTTTTAAGGTTGTCCGTATTAACAGCTATAGAGCTATGTTGGGCAGAGTGTTCTGATCAAAATAAGATGTTCCGCAGGTTTTTAGGGCTTCGCCTTGCGGAGTTATACTAGTTTTGTGAAAAGGTGCTGAATTATAATTAATGAAATGATGACATCATTGCTTAAAATATGGGTTTGCGTTTTGTCAAGAGCCCAATTTTGCCCCTTGTCACGCAATAACTCGGCAGCACTTCAACATTTCGATCTTGAATTTTTAGCATAAGTTGGTTGAACAGTAGGTATTAGTCACTGTAAGCGCCATCGAACTCGGATGTCAAATAAAAAAGTTTTTTCCTGAAAGTGCCCCCTTAATGTAATAAATATGCAAAAGAAATCAGTAGAATTGTGAGTACAGTGAATGTATGAAAGAGAAGATCTGAGTACAACAAAACTAGGAGATGGATAAATTACCATTCTAGTTGTGAATTCTACTGTAAAATATCTGGAAATTCTATTCAGAATTACAGGGATTTCTCTAAGAGCAAAAATTTTCATTTGCAGCGAAATAATCGAATAGAGTGATCAAAATCTATTTTATTATTCGCTACCTATCCATCCGTATATCGAATAAAAGTGGTATAAATTGTCGTCAGAAAAGATAGATACATACAACAATTTTTTGTGTCTGATAATAGATCCATAGCAATTGATCTGTGTAAACGGTATCGTCCCGATTCGTCGACAAATCGGACACTTCAGAGAATATACATCAAAGAATTTCAAAGGCGGGAGGGGCGGTGTGAGAGTGAGTGTCGACGAATCGGGATTGAATCGTGTAAACTTGTTCTTTTCTTTCATGATAAATTGAAAATATTGTTATTTTTCTTTATTCATTATTCCATCTTTTATATTCTTTTTACTGTTAAATTATATTAAATTAATGAGAAAATATATTTTCAAAAATGAGATACATTATCTAACTGTACACACATACAGATTCGAACAAAAGGATGTTATTTTGAATCAGATTAGTAGAAAAAGGAATTAGCTCTCCGATTCCATATAATGCGTTATTCATTGCATTGATTATCATAATATACTCTCACATGCACGTATTGAGTTATTATTGAGAAGACTACTTACTATCCATACAATTGTGAAGAAAAAACGTAAAATGCCCGGACACAAGAAACGCAACATACACGTGCAACTTTTCTCACCGGAAAACCGGAGCAAAAATTCGACCGTTTAGTAGTTTTATTAGGATCGACATATTCTACAATGAATACATTTTTCTTTTGTACTTTTCCTCGCTTCCATTAAGATGATTGTTATAGTCGAGGTATGAATGACGTTGTTCACGAGACTGATTATGATTTACGAACATATTGTTTAAAACTATACGTGGATTTCACAATTATTAATAAAAAATATTGTCCTGTGGCTGACAGATGTAATTAGTTGCAAAAAATATATACGTAAAGAAACTGGTTAACGATAATAAAGTTTGGTGAAAACAAAGGTTCGATCGAATTCAAATTTATACCAAAGATAGACCATCGAAAAAGAAAATCGACGTATTTTTGTCCAGAATTTTCTGACATGATCTTCCATGGATTTTCTGAATATACTTCGATTTTCACTGGAATACATTATGCCCTACCGAAAACTTCATCCAATCTGGTCCAAAATGTTAGCACAGATAACTTCGACGATATTTCAAAACGCTCATTTTGTTTTTTTGTTTTTGAGTTTTCCTACTTGAAACATAACAAAAATGGTAAAAGCGCTAGATAAAATCTAACATTTTGATTACGAAAACTCGCAAAAAAAAACTAAGAAAAACACAGCTTATGTCTCTGCGAAAAACGTTTGAGAAATTTTGGAAGATGTTTCATCAAGAAGAGAACACTTTGCTCTATCAAGCTATAAATAAGAAATAATTTTGAAGATATTGGGATGGAGAGAAAAATTTTGAAAACTAAAAAATTGACCTTTTTAGCCTCTTCTCTAAAACATCGCGGAACGCTGGAAGTGGTCTAGTTTTGTAGCCCAGAGAGAGAGAGAGAGGTCTGCTGTCCTTAAGAGGTCTACGGGACGATCTCATCCCGATCCCGCGGGACTTTTTTCGAGGGCGGGATCCAGAAAAATCTTTTCTACTGAATCGGGATCGAGACCTAGACATCCCGGTCCCACAGGACTTTTAATGCGATCGGAACTAGGTTTTTTTGAAAATAGTCTTGTATGGAGCATAAAAATTTCTTAGTTTCTGTGCCTGTTTGTATGTAGGCATCAGTTCTACGAGAAAGAACTTACAAAAAAACGAGGGTAACACATTTAAGTCAGTCCTTCCCTGTTAAAAATAGCGATTTTTAGAATATCGGATGTTTTCGCTCAGATCGAACTTTTAGTTATAAATTTACATAACAATAACATCATCGATCTTATTGGATTGAATATGCTTTTGAATTTAAAGTGGATGTGTTCTGCAAAGTCTTATTTTGAACTATGTCTTCTAACTTGTTACTTCAAATTGATAACCTAATTGTTAAGAAAACAGACTCTTTGCTATATCCATGAATATGCTCAAAATTCAAGAGTTTTTACTTTTCGAACAATTTTATTTTTAAGACATCAAAGTCAGCAAAAATCAACTGTTGCGAAAAAAAACAACAAACAAATGTTTCGAATAATTTAATTCTATTTATGTACATATGCGAACAAATATTGTGTAGACAAAATTCATACAAAAAAAAGCAAAATATTGTATTTAATGTCCATATTGAAAATTAGTTGAATTATAAAATGGGTAAGATGATTGATGAGGATGATTCACAGATAATGAATGATTATTGTAGTGAGCAGGTGGTGGTGCAGTCATGGCACTATAAGTATACAGTGGCTGGGAATAGTCAGATGAATATCTAAAAATAATAGGAATATTAATCGATACATTTCTCAGTCCATTTAGTTATTAATTATGTTACCTATATTTATTCCATGTATTCTGATACATTTCTTCGATCATGGGTGAAAGAGGAGGTGGTGATGGTGAAAAACACGTAGGAGAAAGAGGTGGTGGAGTATGATTAGTTGGTTTCTAAACAATGAAAAATAAGTTTATTTAGAATATACGGTAAAATGTACATACTAATTGTTGATGTTGGTTATTAGAAATTTTTTTTGGTTGTTTTGACTCTTTTTTCATTCTTGATCGACGATTTTGAAACCATACCTACAAAAATAGTTAGTATCAATGGAAATCTTATAAGCATTTGACTGTTTAACTCATACAGATATTTTTTGTGTTGGTAATTTGAGTCCATCAGCTAAATTGTCGACAATATCTACGGTTGGATAATGATGAAGTTGAAATGTGGATTCAAGAATGTGTAACTAAAAAATGACTTTATCATGTACATGGTAACTTCATAATCTTAATAATGTCCAACTCACTTGCTGTTGTGTATATTGAATACGTGAGCGTTTTTTATAGATGATATTTGGTTTATTTTCCGATAATTCTTGTTCCATTACTACAAGTAATAGAAGGACAAAAACGATGATGATTTTTGCTGTACAAAGCGAAAGAAGCTGTTTCATTTAGCTTGATATTGAGTCTGAGCAAAAAGTAATCATTATTTGATCGTAACGCCACTTTATTCTTGCATATTAGACTGATGCTATGAAAGCACCTAGTGTAAGCAAACTGTGGGAATTGTGGCTGATAATATCGAAGAATAAAACAAATTTTGATTACCGCGCTTCTATACATTTTCTCACTATAAGGCAGTATAAACTCACTTGGTTCTTCTTTGATCGTTGCTTGTTCATAACTGCCGTTTCCAATAGTTTTACTCAGGATCATTTCAAATTTAGTTGGATCACATTCATATCTGATAAAATCATTTTCCATTTTTTTAAATAATTTAGATAGTTCTAAAATCGAGTGATATGTAAGTGAATGCCAATCCTCCAACAGTTACAATAACAATATTGAACACTAATTTTTTGACGTTATGACCAATTATTGAAATACAATCTGTTGCACTGTTCACCATCAGCTTGTCAAAAACGATAAAAACATGAAAGGCATGTGTATTTCGGAAAGTAAATGAACATATATTCTATTTTATTTATATTCTCGTCAACTTTATTGTGAAAGAGAATTATACGCCCAACTATCTATCTTTACAAATACATAAGCGAACAGAGAGAAGTCCGGACGTTATGGAATTTTTCTTGAATAAAAAATTTCCTTGTTTCCTATGAGACAGTCGGGCGGATGTGCATTATTCATCAATGCAAATACAACAAAACTCTCTCTTCTTGATAATCTGTCAATCAATACTACGAAAGTAAACTAACTTTCAAAAAGGATCTGTATAGTTCGTTTGTTACAGACAATCTCATTCGAGTGAGATATTCTAAGATTACAGCGCTGCTTTAATTTCTGTATAAAATAATTTCTTTTCATACGACGAATATCATTATATTTTAAACATACGCTCTGCGATTGTTATGATCTATCCTAGCACACATTTGGTTGACAATCTACTAGCTTTCGATATAAATAGAAAAATGTTTATTGCATAAAGAGAAAGTGTTTTTGTAACCAATTAGTTCAGATCTTGGATGTGTAACCCTTGATTCTTATATGAATAAATCTTCTCTAAAGCTTATATGTATGTGACAGAGGCCGGCGAAACGGTCTCGTCGAGGCGAGACAGAAAAATTCATTCTTTCTTTGCACACTGTTTGAAACTAATGACATGTCAAAAATCGATCATAGAATTGCGGAGAGACTTTCATTTCTTTTTTGTATTTTTGATGCGATAAGCGTTAAATAAATGAAGATAGAATGACAATAAATTTTTGTACATGAGACGAAATAGCTTCAGAAGTTTTTCCGATACGGAAGGAAAATGCTAGGAGACAAAATGTTGAAAAATCCCGCTTCACTCACATCTGATACGTGAAGGCAGACTTTACATTTTTACAAACGTTGTATAGTATGACAAAATAATACTCTCTATTATTAATGCGGTGCGAAGCATAACCACATTAATAACGATGCGATCGTGCGCATATTTTCCTTTACCCTTAAAAATGTGTCATTTTCGTCACCCTTAAGTCTGTCCGATTTTAGGGAATTGGAAGTACTGTGTGAAAAGTTCAAAAGCGAGTACCGAGTTCTGCGACTGAATGTGGGAATGTTCCATTTTGAAACTTCCTGGATGTATTATCTCTTTTCTAGAGCATCCGAAAGTAGGTCGATTAAAAGTTTGGGACTTTGAAATTTTTCAGCAAAACGATAATTGATCTAAGTATAAAAGCGCGATGTTCATTATAGTGCAATGTCACTTTCACAGCCGATCTAAAATGCAATGTTATTCATTTCATTATCTATATGCCATTGTTATTATAAATGAGTCATTAGTATAGTACAACCTGTATATGAACGACTCCATTACAAATATGTAGTAAAACTTGTGATGCAAATTAAATGTTTCGCTTCACATCACATTAGCAAGTCTCGCACAGCATGATTGCCAGCGGCGATTTTGACGACATGGGCATCTAGTTCTTCTATTAATTAATAAATTATGAATTTTCTATTATCGTTAATGAAAATGCTGTTGTACAAAGAGAAAGAAGACTAAGTTCTATGGTTTTAGCGTAGATATGTATTCGTTTTATTCGACCATTTATCGTTTGCCATAGCAGTTTATTTTTATTTTTGTTTCTCATGCAGCAAAGCACTCTTCAAATAATTTAAATTGTCTTGATTAGGAGAAAGGAAATCTTCACCCGCTGATCTTGATCGACTCCGATTAGAAAGTTCGTAGGTGGTCATTGAAAGTTAAAAAAGAATGAGAAAATCGAGATCGATTGGATAAAAAAATCGTTCTCCCGATTGCATCGTTTATTTTTTCGTGTTAAAGAGAAATTTAAAAATAGATCAGATTTTTGCGGCATTTTTGGCTTTTAGTAGAAACACATATGATAAACTAGGTCTTTATAAACTGGTCCCTATCTCCGATAATTGTAATCAGTAGAAAATAATAAAAAAGAAAGATTATTGACTGGAATCACATCAGAATAACAGAGACTTGTGCGCATAAAGGAAAGGTTACTTCAGATTAAACCGAAACTCACATACATTTTTGAAAAAATGAAGAATCGAACGTTGTTAGAATGGAAATCACAATATCAGCGAAAACAAGTGGAAAAATCTTGTAATCCACATTTAACTCCAGAACAGTAGTTGTTCCAGAAATGAAGCCGCTTGTAGGGAACATGATCACCGTATAATGAACAAAGAAGTCCATAGTAGTAGAGGCGGAAAATGGGTCAAGAACAAAAAGTTGGCTCTCTCGAAGTTATTTAAGCATTTTCCTGGTGATTTTAATTTTTTGGTAAAACAGTTGCGATTTTGTCCACATAGGATTCGGTAGTAGTTGCTCATGCTCTTCGTTACCGTTGAGGACTTAGGTAGATCCACCTACGATTTAGCTAGATCTACGTGTTTCGCGTGGTTGTACTAGATTCTTGTTGAGATTCCTCTTCTGTTTTTTTCTTAAACAAATTATTTACCTCATTAGACATAGTAGTTTTTGTTCACTGTAGCTGAATTGAGGCGAAAAATTATGAAAATATTCTCCATTTCAGCATTTATTTGCTGCTTTAAATTTATTGTTTATGAAACTAAAAAAAGAAGACGCAATAAAACTATACTGATAATAAGAACGAAAGGTGTTAACCATCATTTAAACTTTCATATCTCCATTCAACAATTTCTTCGTAATATGTTTGCAATTTCTCGCTTAGTGCCGTCTTTGCTCCTAATTTTGATTCCATATGTGGTTAATTGTATAATGTTTATAAATTTTAACAAGTTTTGAATATTTTGATTGAAAATTTCATCAGTCATAAAAAAAGAAACGTTTCATACATTCAGAATGATGGTGACCAAAGTACGACACACGATGGATAAATGATTTTTGAAAATATATAAAACTTTCTTTATTTAGGACTCTTGCATTTTAGCACTTAATATCTGCTAGATTTGTTGACAAAGAAAAGAAAATCTATTTTGCAAAAGTACAACAAAACCTAATTCGTATCGAAAAAAGCATAGTTACGAGCTACAATTAATTGGTGTTTCTAATGTTCATTTTCTTAAATTCTTTCTTAATATGAAAAACCTTTTAGCGTCCCTTTCAATATCAACAATCATGACATAATACATTAAAGTGTTATGAATGAATCATTCAAGCATTATACATCGAATGATTCATTCTTAGTCATACACTGGGCTTATTTGTAAAGCTGCGAAGTCTACAATTATTAGTTAAATATGCCATTATACTTCGATGCTCCCAAAATTTGTGATTTGACTCGTGGGTCCTGCTATGGTTGTTATAGCGGATACAGAAGGTGATGTGTCCGTGATGGAAATAGAAGATGAAGCATGAGCTTCCGATGACATGATGAGAAAGAGTCTAAGATTACAAAAAATATCTTTTTCTAGAAATACTTTAAATAATTAAGCGCTTTTCTTTTACGTAAACAAAATCTAATAATAGAACTATAAATCATCAGACCTATTACGACCTGATCGACTATCTAAAACTCTAATGCATAATACAACAGGACACAAGCGTCCAAAAGATATTTCTTTCTATTCTTTGGGGTGAAATTTTCAATACAACTTAATTCATCCATTTTGAATTGAATTTGTTATACATTAAACAATATGTACATCCTCTACAAAGTCGAAAAGGAAACAGCACTACTCAAGTGACTTGAGTCAAGTCAGACGAACTTGAGTTAAAACTCACAGTTCTCCAGAAACTAGAGCACATTCTGCAATTCACCGGCAGTTTTACATTTTTCAGTTGAAGAAAACGAATGCTTAATGTTTATAAATTTTGCTAATTTTTTTGTAAGTCTGGTCTGATATGAAAAAGAAAAAAACAAGTATAAAACAAAGAAAAAAAACAAAACACAAAGTCGGAAACATGTTTTGTGTAAAAATATTCAGTCTGTTTAAATTTGATCGTTTTAATTTATTCTTTTTTCGATGCTGTTGTCGATGGCCCGGTTGTTGTCGGTTGTGCTTGGCCGCCCATTTGTTGTTTGGCCTGTTTTTTCCTTTCGGCTTCTAATTCATTTTCCTTCTCAATTTCGGCTATATATTTCTCAACTTCATCTGTCTGCAATGTTTTCAAGGGTTTATGTCTGTACATAACGGCTATCTCAACATTTTTTGAGCCCGACTGCACAACTTCCAAAAGAGCACGTAAACACAATTTAATTGTTTCATGAGCTGATTCATATATTTGTTCGGTATAAGCTTTTTCTAAATATTCACGAACGGTTTTGGCTTGACGACCAATCGCATTTGCTTTCCATTCATGATAGGTACCTAAATTTGAATAAAAAAAATCAAAAGCTGGAAGGTGGCTAAACGGAGTGAATGATTCTTACCAGATGGATCTGTGGAATATAGTCTCGGTATGCCATCATAATCAAATCCAACAACTAATGTTGATAGACCAAACGGTCTTCGTCCTCGTCCCTGAGTATATTTTTGTTGTAAATCAGCAATGTAACGTGTAATATATTCAATTGTTACAGGATCTTCAACATTTAAACGATGACTCTGGCACTCGATTCGTGCACGATGCATTAATACACGAGCATCGGCAGTCAAACCGGCAAATGCCATAGCAACATGATCATCTAACACACATATTTTACGAACGGTACGATCTTCTTGTAAAACGGCAACGGCTTTTTTTTCGACACCTAATACAACAATATTTGCGCCACGTACACCAACAGCTGTTGATCCTTTTTTAACGGCTTCTTGAGCATATTCAACTTGAAATAATCTACCATCAGGTGAAAAAACCGTTATTGCTGTATCATATTCGCCTGCCATACGTTAACTTTAATCTTCAACTATTTATCTATCAGTAGAGAATAAAATACTAAGTGTTCAACCATATCACAGCTGAGCGATATCAAAAGATCATTTTCTTGTAACCTCAAACTATATTCGGACTATAAAAACACAAAATTTCCTGTTTTTATTTGAGACTATAATTAGTTTGTTGTACGTGCGAATCATTCTCACTATAGAAAATTCTTTTTCAAAGAGTCATCTCTAACACATTCTAAGCAATTCGGATTCTATCCATGAATGCTGTGTGCTGGATAACTCCAGTATGCAAGTTAGGCTCACTGCGCCAGAAACTTGATTCATCAACTCTGAGCATACTGCTAAAAGATGAATACTTCTTGATAATATAATATGAGTAAACCAAAAACTGCATGATTAAAGTATTGATGCTAGGATAAAATAATACTCTGGTAATGATGACATTACGAAAAATAAAAAATTGAGTCAAAGAAAGTATGTGAAGTATCACAGGACCACAACTCAGGTAGTGATACGCGAGAGTTTATTAATCTGTTGTTGTTTTTTTTAAATAAAAACAGTTTTATAAAAAAATAATACATGCTGACCTATCACCAGTAAAGATAATCAAACACCACCGCAGTTCCAAAAATGATGCTGGGTAAAGAATGGTGAAGAAACAAACCAATCAGATGAGAGGGCAAAAACGTTTTTTTTCCATGGACAATGCAATGGAATAATCCAGTCTTGGAGCGACCCCTCTTTCAACAGTTTCTTCAGATTTATCTTCACATAAAGAAGCGAAGTAATCCAAAGGAACTGTAGCAAGCTAAAACACAACTTCTTACTTTTTCAATGCTAATATTATGATGAATTTATTCTAAAACTTCTGCACTCTTTGTATTGCAACACTGATATATAAATCGATGATGCGGACCAAGGATACTAACCACAACGTCGCGAGGTCTGAATGTTAGGGTGTTAAAAAGATTGTTAGGAACAGTTTCAAGCTTAAAAATAGTTATCGATCCACCCAATAGTTAGACACTATTGTGTACGAGCATAAACAGCGATTTACGGTGATTTCTAGTGGTCGTTTCCTGTTTCCGAAAGTTAGAAACACTGATCTTTCCACATTTCACAAAACAGTACGGTCTTTTCTTACAAAAACGACGTTTCGAAAAAATATAGCATCATTGCAGAGTTATGGAAATGCTGTAATTTCATCTTTCTTGGCAAGAAATGTTGTATATCGAAATTTCTATTTTTTTCGTTTATCAATATGCATAGATGTGATTAGAAGAACTGATGGGCAAGTATGTTGACTGCCGGGTTTCCAGCCATGCTTGTGCTACGCATCCTTTTTTCGTTTCTTATTTTATGGTCGACCGGATATGGTCACGATAATCGACACGGCGCGTAATATAGACACATGAACTCCAATGCAATTACAGTTGGTAACGGCGTTGTTATGTGCATTTACGATCGGAAGCAATGTATTTGTGTCGTTTACGCTGTCGTAACTGTAGACCCGGCAGACACTGATGTTGATCTACTTCTCATTGCTTACATATAGCAACTCTTGTCTTAGAAACAGAGTTTTATTGTACGAAATATTCAACTGGCAAAAAACGTTATAAAAAATTATGTAATAAATACCGTTGGCGTCATCCATTTCAATGCAACTGTAATTCTCACGAAAAATAGATACTTGGATGAATTCCGCTTACTTTACACTAAGCAATGGCAGCTATGGACATTTTTCTCAATACGCGTGAATTTTTGAGAAACGTGCGATATACCTATAAAAAAACTTTTTCCAGTCAGCTCTGCAATACTAGAGGAAATCAATCTTTTATGCTTAACGGTATGTGCAGCGCACGCATCACACAAAGCAGAAAGACTCCGGTTGATTGAAGAAATTTTTTTGTGCCTAATTAATTGCAGAAATTTTTAGTTTCTTTTTATTAAATAGAAATTATATCTCGATTGAAGTGTAACAGAATAATAGTAAGTACAGTAAGCGCAAAGTAGCGATCCCCATGTAACTCAAGAGCCATGGTAGTTAGGGACTTCTAATTTTGTGTGGCTATAGCTGTTACCGAATGCTGATCACCCACGAAGTTTGGCCTTCTTTTACTGGATGGTTCATGAGATATAAGCGTTTCACTTCTTTTCCACAAAATGCTAATAACTTCTGATCCAAGAAAGATGAAAACGTTTTCTTTTTTCCGACATGTAGTCCTTATTCTCCTCTCTATCTACGATATGAATTTAAAGAGGAAGGTGCTAATGGACACTGAAATGCAGCTATTTTACGATCGAGGTCCCTGGAAATGAGGTTCTGAGATAGATATGAGGTCCCTTCCAAAAAAAATTCATTCTAGGAACATCAATTCGACTTCAAACTCACAGCAAATACTCTTCGACGACTATAGTCAAAGTATGAAGGTTAACTATTGTGTGGTTCTGGAAATTCATTGAGAATGACCACCCACTATTGAAACATACCTAAGGCGGCGAGGGTGAGGAACTAAGGGTCGCCCCTTCTACTATAGAATCTGCATTCAATGTACGTCATAATTATGAAAAAATAATCATAGAAACCTATGGTTCCGAAAAACGTATGTGAAACTTTTGTCAGAAAACTTTACACACTGACCGCTGACCTTCGCTATTTCACTTATTTTGCGTTCTTTTCACTTCTCTTATATTTTCAAGCAAAACTTATAACACATTTGAGATCAGCGGACAAAACTGGGTCGAATAGCATGCGTAACATTCGGTTTTCGAACAAAAGTATTTTATTGAAAATTTTCTGTCTAGGTTTATGATTCGTGTATAATTTTTTTTATACGCGTAGGTATAACTGAAAAGATAATGCATATATTCACACGATTACTTCGATGACGATGCGTGAGACTAGTACTATACCAAATCGGAAAGCGACGATAGATCAAACAAAGTAGAACTATTAAAAGATTGGCCAACGATAAACATCATTTTTTACTAATCATCTACAGTTCGCTACGCGATATGAATTTTTATTTGATTTTGCTTAAGATAATAAAAAGTAAAAGGTATTTACACTTGTATAAAGAGTTTCGGAGGTTAAAATTATATGTTGGATCAAACCTATTTCTTACACTCTAAAAAAACGCCGTCTGAAAATAAGACGCTACATAGATAGGTTATAAAATTGTTGAGTTTGTCCGTCTTATACCATCTGTCTTATATTCATTAGCATTTAACTTTTATTTGTTGGACAGGATTGTAAGATTACTCTAGGTACTCGCCATATTAATGATCTCTGTTGAATTGACAAGTTTTTTTGAGTAATCATTATTTGTTAAATACCAGTGATGAACACAAACAAAAGAGGTGCCCAGTTTATCTCCTAATCAATCACAAGTAAAAGAATGAACGTCTACCAGAAATGAACACCTTAGTATAAGACTGATAAAATAAATAAGACGAACATATAATAGAACAGCATGATTACTTAATACTTAATAGAGAAAAAAAAGTCGGATTTGTTCGTAATGACTTAAGATCATGTCTATCATTTCAGAACACGATTGTACAATCTAGTCGTTTGTCGACGAAAACGAAAGCTATAATGATCGTTTATTTACACAAAGCCATACTTGATCTTGAGGAAAAATATTCAATGCTTTTTCAAATTTAAGTGGAATCTTAAATAGAATGAAGAAATTAAACATATATAGTTCCTAAATATACTACTAATACAAACCGTTGTTTTTTCACATGTACATATTTCAAACTGATAAAGACATTGTACAATAGCCAGTTTTACAGTTTGAATTGCAAAACGCATACCAACACAACTTCTAAAGTAATCCTTTCAAATAGTCTACGTTAAGTAAAAGAACTAAGATTCAGTATTACCGCGGTCCGATGCCAAACGGTACAAAATATAATGGATCACGTTTTAGCTTCTCAGATGAATAAAATCTAAATATTGTAATATTTTAATAATAATATACATATTAATATAGTAAAAAGAGATACTATTGCTTTGTATTAATGAGTTTAAATATTTACCTTTCTGGTATAAATTGTTCAGGATTTTCCCATACATCGGGGTCATGATGTAGCCAATAAACTGGAACGGTTATTATCGTACCAGTAGGTAACATGTATCCACCTAACTCACATGGTACACTGGATTCACGATCAAATCTATAACGTAAAAATAATCGATAATTCACATGTACAGCACTTCAATAAAACTCATTCTACCTTGTTACTGGTGGATACATTCTTAATGTTTCATTAATAACTGCATCCAAATAGTGTAACTGTCCAATTTTCTCATAGGAAATATCATTCTGGATAAAAATCAAAAATAATTTTATCTTTTAAAATAAAATCACAATCAAATACACTTACCATCCCATTTTCATCGATACAAACCGAACATATCTCTTGAAAAACCTTTTCTTGAACATGAGGATTAACTGCCAGGGCGTACATAAAAAACGATAATAGTGAAGCGGTTGTTTCAAAACCAGCAATAAAAAATATTAGCGCTTGACCAATTATTTCATCATCTTTTAAGGCTAAATATTGTTTTGTTGCTAAATGAAGTTTGAAAAGTTAACAGAAACTTTTCCAACATTCTTCATGAATGCTTTTGAAAACTAAAAATATATTTGAAAAATTCCTCTCTGTTAAGTAGTAGTGCCAGATCTTGCTACATTTTAAGATTATCGAGAACTTTTTAGCACTTAAAATGGTGGAGAAACCATTGCTGTACGAACATCTATTTTTTTACCCTTGTTTTTAGAATAACTTTGGGAAAACTTAACATTTTGGGCTTCAATCTGTAGGGCCACCTTTCGAGGGATAAGACATACATTTTATTATAATTTTGCCAAGGTCAGATATTCAAGGCCGAAAAGATATTTCTAGCAGGGGAAGCTCTTAATGGTAAACTTACGCGTTTCCACTTTATCCGTATTTTCTAAATGACTATTATGTGTCTCAGTTTGATCCACCATTATTTGAATAAAATCATTTCGATTCTAAAGACATCGATATATCAATCTCTTACACTAAAGTATTTCATCCTAATACCTCGAGACCATTTCGTCGGCGTAGAAGTACTTCTTTCAAAACATGCGTTAAATAAGAAATTATCGCTTTTGGAAAACATGTAATACCCTTAAGAACTAAATATCGAGCGAGTCTTGGTGCAAATACTGTAAAAAAAAGCAAATATTTTTATACTCCATTTATATAATCCGTTAACGTACTGACTGTATATGATGATGATCGGATTTCCTAGTGTAACGGTGAAAAGACTTTTTAAATGTTGTACCATTGTAAGATTTTCATTTTGCAACGAGTTTATTTCAATTCCAAACAGACACGACGCTAAACTGATCATAATAGACACAAAACTTATGTCTGGATGTACTCATCATTTCAGCGTTACCTATCGTGTCTATTGTATAATTACTAAATAATCTGACAGTAAAAGGCAAAAAAACAAATGAAACTTTGCTTATGGTAAAAGAATTTTACCCTCTCGCTTCAAACATTTCTTGATTATCAGCTAATTGAGATAAACGTATATTAAGCATCCTACTGCAATGATCTACCAAACTAAACATCTAATGTGTGTAATTGTGTAATTAGACAGATACGTCAATTACTCTTTAGTGTTATACGTACATCTTTTAGTTTACTGGTGGTAAATGTTGGCGAAACGTTACTTCTTGACCGTTTCCATTCGTCATTTTGTAATGAAAATAAGCCATGATTTAATGGTGGACCATTAATACCCTCGATTCTCTGAAATAAACGTGGAATATAGTTGAGATATTAAATTACTTCAATAATTTCTATCATTCTATACCCTTCTATTTGTGAATAAATGGAAATCTTTGATAAGTACTTTACGTAATAATTCAGTATCGGCTAAAAGGATAATTGGATGAGCACCTTCAAATACACTGAAAAATAAACATTTTTATCAATATTTTTATCAATATTTTGTCAACAATACCCAACGATTTTTCCATATTTGATTATCAATTCCATATCGTATTGATATAAACCCTTCAAAAATTATTTTATTACAAAATCTTTTTCTATTAATCTTCTGTTAAGTAAGACTTCGGCCCGTCCGCCGAAGTTTTCTACCGCAAGTATGATTCTTCACGATTTTTCACTGAATTAAAATTGTCACAACCTTTTAACAAAAACCAGTAGAGACTCAAGCAACATTTCGTGCGAAAGAAAAGACGAAGGTCTTTAAAACGGAATCTAAGCAAATTGTTCGAACATTACTAGTTCGAACAATTAGTGGAAAATCGTGACGGAATCACACTTGCGATAGGAAACTTCGGTGGACAGGCGATTTTACTTTTTTTAGATAACTCAATAATGAGCCAAAAACTGGAATCGGTCTTGGTCCAGGAATTTTCATACGATAAAAAATGTTGTTCATGTAAAATTTGATACTACAAAGCAAAGATATTTTTAAACATATATACAGTTGATTAAACCGTCATGATCAGAAGAAGAGTTACGGTCAAGAACTTACATGTAAAAAGTGAGAAGACCCAATAAAATTGAAAATAACATCCATGTAAAATACCAGTTGGTGAAAATAGTAGTCATATATATATTAATTATATTGTCTAAAAATAATCAAAACTCTTTTGTTACAGAAACCCTATGTTTACCAAGAAAAATATTAATATTTCGAACTATTTTTGTACAAAAATGGTTTTTGAATCTATTTTAAAAACTGCTTATCTAATTTACTTTCCTGCAAAATTTATTGCAACATTCGTGTCTCTTGTCATTTTCGACAAGCCTTGTCGAAACAAAAACATAGTATGTTTTTGTTTGTCAGAACAGGTAAAAAAAAGCAAGATTCTTATCTCTTGTCATTTTAGATAGGAATGTTTCGTTTGTCATAACAGGTAAAAAAAGCGAGCGAGATTCTTGTCATTTTAGACAAGAATATTTTCGTTTGTCATAACAGATCAAAAAATCAAGATTTTTGGCAATGACATTTGGGCGCAACGACATTTGGGCGCAGCGACATTGGGTGCATCTATGACAAAAGCAAACAGAAGTAGTGCATTTGTTAAAGTATGCTACAAAACGATAAAATTCTCTTTAAACAAACTTTTTATGCTGTGAGAGCTTTTTCTATATTACTCATATCCAACCGTAACCACTGTTTCTTTAATCTTCATCGATATTCACACTCACACTCACCCTCACCCATACCCACACCGGCGTCTTTGAACTTCAACTATCGTTGCGCCTAAATGTCGTGCGCCCAAATGTCGGTATACCGTTTCATACGGAACCCTATATGTCAGCGATTTTTTTGATTGGTCGGTGGGGTTTTGTACAAAACCCTCGAAAGGTTTCGGCGACTGTTCTTTCGAAAATGTACGTTTGTAAAGAACCCTACCGACCAATCAAAAAACTCGATGACTTATATGGTTCCGTATGAAATCTCTGGACGGATTAGTATCAAATCAATGAGAGTTTGGTACGTTTGACAGTACGTTGGTACGTTGAGACAGTTCCGAACTGTATTCGAATTGCGAAACCATATAAAAGGGTTCGTAGCTACTACGAAACCAAAACTGGTTTCGGCGACTATAGGGTTTAGAGAAGTGAAACCATTTCTAAACCCTTCAGCAGAAAAAAGATTTCGTATCAACCTCTTGTTTTTTAAGAGTATCATTCTCTACATGTAACTTGAACAAGACACAGCAATTCCGGGCTATACATCAACATCTTTTACACATAAAATGGCAAATGTAGAACACCTAAAACAGTATGCCATAAAATTATCAAAAACCTCCATATCAAGACAACTGGATGTAACACAAAACACATTATCTGACATCATAGAAGACACTCTTGTTTTAGTTATTCCAGTTTATAAATAAACTGCTGATAACAAATTGATCATTTTATTGCCAACAAACCTTTACTGGTCCACTTTGTTATATCATTTGTTGCAGTATTCTTGTATTTTAGCATTTCAGATAAGACTTGTTACATAATTTACAGGTATTTTTATCTCAAGAATCTTGACTGAAATTTCTGTCTTGTGATTTCAGCCAAGATCGTTAAAAAGAATTGTTTTTTGGCTGAAATCACAAGAAAGAAATTCCAGCCAAGGTTTTTGTAAAATTTTACACGTATTTTTATCTCAAGCATCTTGCAAGAATCGTATGTACAAAGTATTCATCTATAATTCATTTTCAATTTTGTTTTTCTATATATATGCAGCATAGTTGTACAAATGCGAATACAGGTATACGTAAAAATACTGATTCAATCGTCTATCGACAAGGTTCTTGTTAGAATAATAAATATCGGTTATGACTTAAAAAGAAAATGAAAATTTTTCCATCAATAGAAAAAAAAATTTCTCTCATTTTTTCTCATTTTTTAAGTCATAATCAAAATATCGGTATTGAAAAATTCTTGTCGAGTCTACCAAGATACATTTAAAGATTCGTGTATGAAATGTCACAAGTCAAGAATCTTCCAAGAGAAGAAAGTTGACCGGTATTGCCGCTTCAAACAAGAATCTCTCGCAAAAAAAGTGGAAGATCAGTAAAAACTACATACAAGGATTTTGTTTTTTTGATCCGTTATGACAAATGAAAAGATTCTTGTCTGAAATGACTAAAGACAAAAATATTGCAAAAAACATTAACAGGAAAGTGGATCAAGGTATGTTATCCTAGCGACATTTCTTCTAATATATAGAGTGAAAAGAACGGAAGAAAAATATCTTTTTCAGCGCCTTGTCCTTTAAATGATGTCCTTGTCAGTTAAGACAGGTATCTGCAATTTAAGAATATTTGAAAGAAATCAAACTTGTACAAACGTAAGCTGGTTCTTACGTATATATTGTTCATTTAGAAAACGAGTCAGGATCCCGCATGATACTTTTCATAGGAATTAAACTCATCATGTCTCATTTACTTCAATAAACTTTTTTAAATCCTCAAAAATGAAAATATATCCGTTGCATATATCCACCGTAGGTGCACATGCCGCATTAGGCTGCGCATATATTTACTGGAATCAGCATGAACAATTACCTTTGTTTCATGCAATATTTACACTGTAATCTTGAATTAATTTCTAGTTTATGGAAAACCGACCCGAAATTCGCTGAGGAATTTCTACTTTCTAGAAATTCCATCTGATTTTCTATAAATTCGAATTTCTATAAATAATTCCCAAGAAACTGTAAATTCGATGTCGAATTTAAATCAAAAACGAAAGTGGAAATTCGCCCAGTAATTTCTAGACCAAATCAAAAGGGAATTTCTACTTTCTTGAGAATTATTTATAAAAATTCAACGTCGATTTTCTAAACATTGCAAATTCCTTAGCGAATTTCCAGCAGTTTGAAAATTATTTATGGAAATTCAAGGACGATTTTCTAGATTGCTGGAAATTTGATTCTGTAAACTGGAAAATCCTCGAGAAATTCCTATAGGTACTGTTTCAAATTAACCGAGTATTTTCCATGAATAATTTCCAACCTTACAGTGTAGTCCAAAATACTACTTGTTTCGCATGATTACAGCACTTCAAAGGACGAGGAACGATAAGACCGCAAATCGGCACCCTTTCAAATCAGTCTTAAGTTATCTCATCTGATGCAGTTTTTGTCCACGATTAGCACTAACATATTTTTAGACAGTAAAAATCCTTTTCCAGCGACCCTGGAAGCCTTTCAGCAAAAAAAATCTTTGCTCGTTGACCTTTACTCAAAGTATTTTCATTATTCCACTTCTTTCATCTAGAGCAAACACAACCCATTATATATCGTCCGATAGAGAATTTAATTAATTGAATTGCAAAATGAATCTCCCCTATCGAAACTGAATCTGTTTGCGTTGAAATTTTTCACTATATTATATGTGTGTATTTTCGGGTGATTTAGATCCGTCAGTCCGAACAGTTGGATGCTTCCTTCGGTAGATTTTCGATGGTTCCTCATACGTATTTGAATGGTCCGTTGGATTGATAAAAATTTCAGCCTGAACAGACAAAATTTTGATAGGATAAGTCCATATGCGTTGAAACATCCAATTCTTTAGAAAACGCTATTCATAAATGGCTTTGAAGATCTGAGCGGTGTTCTGGCTGGTAAGTTTAAGAGCAAAAAGAAGAATCGAAAAATGGTAGATCAGCAAAGAAAAAGAGGGAGAATTGCATCTATAGTCATCTGTTTTTTAATATATTTTATGTGGCTGATGGTGATTAGTGGATTGAAGTGGAAACTTTTACATTTGTTATTTTTCAATAAAACAAAATTTTTCATGTTGATCTCGTATACATCATTCTGAGCAAAAAATATGTTCCATTTAGCCTTCGTAAAAGAGCTCTGGTGAAAATTCCAGTTTTCTGCAATTTGTTATTAGAACTCCGTCACAAGGTGGTAAAAGCAAGTGAATATTTCTTATCATCATCAGCCAACTGCAAGGGCGTTATAGCGTATGCAGTCGATCACTATCGACGATCGATCGACTGTTTCTTATACAAATATAAAAATAAATCAAAGTAGTCTTAGACAGAGACAAGATACCTAGATCTTGACCTGTGACCTGCACGGGTCAAGGTCAAAATTTGTAGAAGAAGCTAGAAAGTTTAACTTTAAGGTAGCTTATTGTTATTCGATCTAATAAACAATTTTGCCTCGGGTCTGGTCCTGACTTATAAAGTTGAACCTGGACCTGCGGACCTGCACTTGAAAAAGATAGATCTAGACTTGAACCTGGACCTATGACCTGAACTTGTGACCTGGACGCTGGGTCCATTGCATAAAAAAATTCTAAGAGTAGTGTGAATTTACAATATCCTGTACTAGAATTTAAGGACAGTTCTTAGGATATGTGAGAAGCACGTGATAGATATTTTGAATAAGACTTTAGGTCACAGGTACTTCAGGTCCCCTTTTTCAGGTTCAGGTCTTGCAGATCCAAGTCCGCTTTTGCTAGATCGGGTCTGAACATATGACCTGGATCATCCTCTCTCTGGTCTTAGATATTGGAAAAAATCCATATTCTTTTTAAATTTATAGTAAAATTGACTAACGGAAGAATCTTCGTAGGTGATTAAAAGCTCTTCGGATTCAAACTAGTTTTTCTGTAGTAATTCTTGATGTAGATCACGAATTTGATATTTATTGGAGCCTGTGGAGATGTTTATTGTTTGTCTTTAGCCTCTAGCCTTTAGCGGCTCACTTTATAGTTTCAATTTAACAAGCTGAGATATCACCAGTTTGTACAACAATTCGACTTACACAGAATAAAACATTAAACCTACCAGCTAAGTTCTTGTTGAAGTAAACAACATTGACGTAAAGTAAGCTTCGAAAATAGGTGCAAACACAGAGATTCAAGAATTTTTTTCTCAATCGGTGAAAACAGCGGCCGGCTAAAATCTTTTTCTCAGCTCGTTCTCAACCGCTTTTCACCGGACTGATTCTAACTCCACTGTGTATGCACGTATCTCAAATCATTCTTTAAATAGCTGTTCCAATTATCTTCTAGTTAAAGATGTGTAGTACTATATCAGTCTGCATGGCATTAAAGTAATGATAATTAAGTTGCCGTTTGGATGTGTCTTGCATTAATCCATTGATCGTGATCAATTTTAATCTTGGTTCGAAACCAGAGCTGAATTGTTATTGTCTTGCACGAATGTATCTAATGAGATCCTGGCGTTATAATAAATAGCTACTAGAGCGTTGTTTACGAACTAGATGAGATATCAATTTTTGATTAAACTATATCAGAATATTGAAGTACTTTAGATAACACGTCTGAAGTTGCTTTTTATTGTATCTAATCTAATGTTACTTCATTGTTTATTCATGACATCGTATTTTTTTGCCAACGATGCCATGCACAAACTGTCACCGCCTGTAAAACCATGGCCGACACAGTTTTTTCCAAACCTTGAATTGAAATTTTATTTATGTGTAATAGAACTAAAAAGACAGAATACTTTAACTTTATTCTGAAGTTTTCAAGTTTTATAAAAAAGACATCCCCTTTCGATTAACACCTAATTTCTGAATGACTTATTATTATTATTCATTAAGATTTTTCGATGAAATTAGTTTACTTCTTACTTTTTTTCTGATCTGCCCATATAATACAACCTCTTGTTTTATATGTTAGATACGCAGATCATTCATCATCATTTATTGAATATTTAGCCAATGGTAGATGCTGAAGTGAGGTGGCTCTGATTCCTCGCTTAGCTTACAGTGCGATATACGTTAAGTTTTAATCGATACAGTCTGATTGAAACTTATAAAAAAAGTAAGAATAAATGCTAGAGGTCAAAAAAATGTGTAAGGAGTATTTATTGAATACGTAAGGAAGTCGTTGCCTAACGTCAGAAAACTCGTCAAGATGGTTAATTCCCGGGTAACACTATATCGTTAATTTCAAAAATTAAATATATCCTTTACTTGTGACGACGATAAAAGAAAATATAAAATAAAGTGAGTGCTCATATTTCCGAAGTGAAAACATGTTCATAGCAGTTTCGCAGATGAAATTCATCTTACAAGATCATGTAAGATCTGTCGTTTTCTTACGAAACCTTATGATAAGATCTTACTCCATAGTCTTGCAAGATCTTGTCTTAAGATCTCCCACGATCAGCTCATAAGTGACAAGATCATATACGATCTTGTGACAAGGGATCGTATGATCTTGCAAAATCTTGTAAAATCTTGTCTGCAAGATTATTGAGCGTGACTCATATTTAGTTCTTATCACACGATCTTATATGATCTTGCAAGAGGTAATTACTCATCCTTACCCCATAAATTTTGCTACCATATCTAGCATATATCCAACAAAATGGCGAAGATCTACGGTTTTCGCCATTAGTAGCCTATACTCTAAAGGATCTTTTCATAATGAAAAAGCGTTTGAAGTTACTTTTCGAAAATAGGTCTTCTAAGGGATCTTTGGAAAACCATTTCATAAGGCGAAAATTTAACATAGCAATATATTAGTTTATTTCATGGGTAATCCAAAGTGTCCTGTTCAGAATTAAAGCTAAGCGACCTCTTAATCTTTCGTGATTGAGATGTGGCACTGGATTTCCTCGAAGGCTCAGGATCGTTCTCTTAGATGTGGTAATCCTGAAAATGAATGGAAACATAGGTTACCGACCACACTGAGTCTCATAACACCATTTGTTTTGCCAAAAAGGTTCAAAACCTAGCGAAAACCTATATTAAGTGAAATAACCTATTTTTAAAATAACCCATCGTAAAATAGGAATCTTCCAAAGAAAAACAATATTTTTTACCAATCTTAAGCACAGAATGAGATTGAGCAGATAAGATTTAGTATATATTAATATTCTGACGTAGTCTCGATCGATTTTGACTGAGATATGAATTTTCTGATTTTACGACGGATTATTTTAAAAATAGGTTATTTCACTTAATATAGGTTTTCGCTAGGTTTTGAACCTTTTTGGGAAAACAAATGGTGTTATGAGACTCAGCGTGGTCGGTAACCTATGTTTCCATTCATTTTTAGGATTATCACGTCTAAGGAGACGATCCTGGGTCTTCGGGGAAATCCAGTGCCACATCTCAATCACGAAAGATTAAGAGGTCGCTTAGCTTTAATTCTGAACAGGACACTTTGGATTACCCATGAAATAAACTAATATATTGCTATGTTAAATTTTCGCGTTATGAAATGGTTTTCTAAAGATCCCTTAGAAGATCTATTTTCGAAAAGTAACTTCAAAAGCTTTTTCATTATGAAAGGATGGGTACACGCGAACTATTCATTTGAAATCTGATTTCTTTTAGAAACTGAATTCAAAATGTCACACGATATTCGCCTTGTTAGTCCTGTTGGCAGTGATGATGCTTATGTTACAGTTCGATGGGTGAGAAATGTTGCCCGTTGTTTTCTTGCCGCTCAGAATGTGTATGTGCTGCTTGTTTGAGTTTAGCATTTTGCTGTTTTATATTTAATTTTTCTTAATTTCTACCATTTTTGCTATTTTATCGCAACAGTTATCGTCTGAATGTGGGCAGTAAACCTACGAATACTAGTGAAAGGAGTATCTGATGATACGTGCTATTTAGGGCAATATTGAATCAGCCGAAAATATCATAAGTGCGATCAAGTATGTTACTATACACACGAATTCTTTCGATTAACATGGATAATTTTAATCTGTTTCAGGTTTGCATGTAAAACAATTCCCGAACTTGAAATAATTGCGCAAAACACACTACTAAAAATGAATATTGATGTTACCGAGTGAGTATTCGTATGATAAAAACAGTGTATATACTACTATTTGCAGAAACTCTTCGTTTCTATTTAGTTTAGCATTGGTGAAAGCATTTGCTGAAGCCTATAATAGTATTACCATTGATCTACTATCGAAAGTATGTAAATCATTCATATATATTGAGATGAAAATATGCACTGAAGAGAATGACACCGTTTTTCACCCAGGTCCATGGTTACGAGGACCGTTACGAGACTGTAATCGATCGTAAACGACAGGAATACGGTGCTTTTCGACCGTAAGTGACGTAAGAACGCCGTTACTGGCTGTGATTGCATTGAAGTCCATGTGTCCATAAAGGGTGTGCCAGGATTACTGAAAGGAATTGCCTACTAATCACTATTGGAACGTTTCAGTAACTCTGGTCCACTCTTTATTACGCACAGTGTCGATTATCACCACCATATCCGGTCGACCATAAAATAGGAAACGAAAAACGAAAGTCCGAGAAACGAAAGTCCGTACTGTTTTGTGAAATGTGGAAAGAGGAGTGTTTCTAATTTTCGAATACGTTTTGCAATTGTGAGTATGGTGTTAACTCACATGGCCCCAATGTGATTAACGGGTGATGCAAAAATTTTTTTCCTTTTTTTTGTTTGCTTCATGTTTCAGTCCAGAAGCATCGTATACTAAATTTAGAATTTAGAAGATTTTGTCATGATTTTTAAAGTAAACAACGTCCAGTAAAATTAGCCACTAGTGTGAAATTATCCAACACTCGGATGACTCTAAATTAGAACAGTTTATTTCTGTGAAGGAAACGGATTTAGTTGATATCCCGTACATCAAATGAAAGCTCTTTAAATGTATTATTGTGATGATCATGAGGATAGAAACTATTGGCTTTATGTAATGGAATATGGCTGACTTCATTTTTGCACAGATTTGATCTTTTAGTTTTTCCAACTAAACCCCAATGATCACCCTAATTATGCAATATGTAGCACATTCTGCTGTCACAAGAAATGGCACATTTCGATGAGTATATTGATATATAATGTGTCAAGAAAACTCTAAACACACACAAAAAATTGATCAAACGAAATATGCAGTTCTCATTTTTAGACGTGATTTTTACAAATGGGTTATTGACGGTTTGTCTAGTAAAAGTAATATCTCTTTTTGTATCTCATTGATGCCCACTGTTCTTATATATTTTTGTAGACTAGAGTCTGCTCTTTCTAAATTGAGTGTACGATGCTTCTGGACTGAAACATGAAGCAACAAAAAAGGGAAATAACTTTTGCATCACCCGTTAGTTACTATCATCAGATCATACTATAAGAAAAGACTTTGTAGAAATCTATAAACTAAAAGTTGACCACTTCGACGACTTCACTGTTCCAGTAGAAGTGCTTTAACTCTCACAGATAGTGATAATGTCTTTTTCCTTAAAAAGCAGGGTTTCACTTTTTTCCTCATATCTCTCAGCTGTATAATAAACTAGCTAGAGGTGTCAATCGAAATACAAAGCTAAATATATGCAGACGTAATAGATTGACAGGACAATTTTCAATTAATGTATGTATGTTAATTGACCGCGGTTTGAGTGCGTTCAGGAGTATTCCATTGATTTTTTTCTTTCTCACTTTATAAGTTATATTACTGAAATCGGCTATCTACCAGAAAAAATTTTCATTGTCTCCACTTTGATTACAACTGTTAATTAATTTACTTTTTTCTTTGTTATTAAAGAAAAATTTTAAAAACGATCCAGAACAGTTTGTTACACGAGATGTATTACGTTTTATCTTAAAATTATGTTATGAAAAATCTGTCACATATACTGACAATTTACAGCGCAATTCAACATTTTCAAATCAAGTATAGAAAAGTGTCTATCTATACAGTTGTTTTAGGAAAGTTTAAAAATTTCATGATTTTTAGATCTATGGCGAAGTTTCATTTGAATTACTTGATGAACTGATGCCAAAATTAGCTATTAAACCAGACGATGTTTTTATTGATCTTGGCAGCGGTATGTTTATACTAGCCTCCTATGCTTTTTGAATAACTTTTGAACAGAAAGAGATGAAGATCAGGAGTTTTCGTTTTTCGGTAGTAAATACAGGGGGACATCGATCTATTAAAAAGTCAAAATTTTTCAACAGGTCTACCATGGTGTA